TACCAGTAATTATGGCCACCACTGGAAACAAGAATATCAATGCTAAATTGGTGAGTTTTTAAGCTTCTTTCTTTATTTTATATGGATTATCGTTATCTGGGTGTGATTTAATTTTGAAGAATTTTGGTTCCATTATTAATTTGTAGGTATTTATTTAGTTTTTTTTATGCAATTCCTGATGTGGGTTTTGTTTCGTTTTGGAAATTTTTATAATTTCAGCAAAATCTGATGTTATTTTTTCTGGACTTTTTGTTGTTTTTGTGATCGCAATTGAGAACTGAGTTAGCTCGTCGTAATTGTGAATGTTTTGTGTGTTCTGTTGTGGGTTTCCGATAAATTTTAAGGATCTGATATGAATTTGTGTAATTCTGATCGCTTAGCACTGTTTTGGGTTATAAAATTAAATGTACAACTTAAGCAAGCTAAGTCTTGATGTTATCTACTACATGTGAACAGGTTTTGTATTCTGGTGATATTTTTTCTTTTGTACAAGGAATCAAGTGGGATTTATACATTAGGTTAGTCGTTTTATGAATTGCCTTTGTAGCATTGTTCATGTGCAAATATTATATGCTTTAGCCCCTGCTTTATGAGTCCGAGATTGAGACTTGTTAGGGGTTCATTTATCTTCGAATCCCAGACGCATTGTTTGTCATTTGTGTCTGTTTTGGCTTGTAGAGAATTTGTAGTATGTCCTTCATTTCTTTTTGCTTAACTGAATTTAAGGTGGCTGTGTTTCTCCATTGCTTTGGTTTGACTTTTTTTTGGCTGTTTTTTGAAATAGATCATGGATTTTTTTGAAATTCAATATTTGGTTTATGGTTGCTTTGTGCTGCAGGTGCTTCTCGGGGATGTTGGTGCTGGTAAGTCCAGTCTCGTATTGCGTTTTGTCAAAGGACAGTTTGTTGAGTTTCAGGTTAGTGTGTATTGGACATTAGGGGGTTATAACATTGGTAGCAGAAATTGTCCTGTTTGATTTTGGAGGATGACTTTTGCTGTCGGTATGTTATTGTAGGAATCAACCATAGGCGCTGCCTTTTTCTCACAAACATTGGCTGTCAATGATGCAACTGTAAAATTTGAGATTTGGGACACAGCAGGCCAGGAGAGATACCACAGCCTGGCTCCAATGTACTACAGGGGAGCTGCTGCAGCAATCATTGTGTATGATATATCTAATCAGGTAAGGTTGCTAATTCCCAAACCTGATGCATGCCATTCCCCTCTGAGCAGCATTTACTTTAAGAAAATAGTTATTATGTCTAGGTTTCTATTATATACTGTGTTATATAAGGAAACATTTGACCTTTTGGCTTTAGCAGTCTGTAGTGTCAGTCTGCAGGTCTAAGGGTTTATAGCTCAGGCCTCTTGCTCCAATATTTATTTGCTTGAAGGATATGGAAGAAGTGGGAAATGTTTGGCAATTTGAATTTCATCCTCTTCATGTAGGAAGAATTTCATATCAAGGCGACAAATTTTCATTTTGCAAATCTTTGCATCAAGAGCCTTCATTGTTGAATTGATTTGCTCAGTGTGCTTCTGCCGCCTTTAGTAGTATCAAAACTACCACGTTTCGTGTTTTAAGTTAGCTGTATGCTTTCCTGTTATTATATCAAGGCTGCTGATTTTCTTTGTGATGTGTGTGCACGTGCTCTGGAGTGACAAGTTTGTAGTATTTTTGCATGCCTCAGACAAAGATGTCATTGCTAATGGCACCTTTAAATTTTTCCCTCTTTTGAAAAAGTTAATATCATCTATAATTCATATTTTCTGTTTCTGGGGAATAGATGAAAGATATTCAGGTTCTAACATCATTCACCGTGAACTAATTTTAACTAGATAGGTGACCTGTGTCATGGTGCATTTTCCTTTGTAGTTACACCATGCTAACATACCCTCTTGCCCCATTCGGTTCTCTCTCATTAAAAATCCCAGTTATAGGAAAAGTCTCTCTTTCAGTTTTTCCTTTAAGATTATATATGACAATAACAGATCTCAGTTAACGCATACAACTAAAGGTGGTTTAAGGTGTTTACTTGTCAGGCAGTCTAACTATTTCTTTGCTGTTTTCATGTCCTGTGGTTTATGTCCCTCTTCCCCGAGTGGCAGAGCCTACCCTGCTCTCCAGCATGCTGGAAGATCTTTCTCTTCCACATTTTCCTCTTGTTTCTCCCTCCCCTTGCAAGGATATGTGTCCCTTCCATTTTGTCTTGTTCCTTTTCAAAATTGTGCTTGTTTTCAGAAAATAAAGAGTCAATATCAGCTTCGTTCTATAGCTCAAAAAACTGAGTCGCTCACCTTCATCAAGAAATGAAGGCAATATTGCATGAAAGTGCTTTGGCTTGCCTGGTTTTAAAAGTTTTCAGAGTTGTCTTGAAAATCTAATGGCTCTTAGAAATGGTTCCTTCATGTAACATTATTGGCTGAAAAAGATGACTGCCACCACTTTATTTAAATTGTTTTACTAAGTTGGTTGATTTCATGTAGTCACTAAAATTCCAAATCTTGATTCTCTTGTAGGCCTCATTTGAGCGGGCAAAAAAATGGGTTCAAGAACTTCAGGCACAAGGTAGTTTTTACATGTTTGCTTGTATAAATGTGTTTATGGCTGTTCTTGATAGCCTTCTTCATGTGGCATTTTTGCGTCCTGTTGCTGATATTACTGTTAAATTACCCTTATTTTTCTTGAACTGTATTCTATCCGTATCTTTTCCTTTCTTTTGTTACCGGAAGCTTCAATCATTATATTCTGCTTGCCATGTAGGCAACCCAAATATGGTTATGGCACTTGCAGGGAACAAAGCTGATTTGCTGGATGCAAGGAAGGTTACTGCTGAGGCAAGTAGTTCTTTTTCTGTGATAGTGACTTCTTACTAGTTGATTTTTTATCTTTAGTAGGTCCTTTAAATCATGAAAGGTATAGCAGCTTATTGTCAAGGATATAGGAAATTGAAAAGAAACTGGAATGATTTTTTATTGGTTTATATGAGGTGACTTGGACAAGGTAAACATGTCCTTAAAGATCCTTTTTGGCATAGATTACATGGGAAAAGTTATCTGCAAGAAGTTCTCTCTTTTTCTTTTTTCTTTTTGAGTTCTAACAATTTGTTACATAATTTTTACCTTTTACAGAAATCATACCTTAGCATTTATTGAATAACTTGGCTAGTTCATTTAGAGATCTGCTAGGAATCTTCACTTGGAGAAATAATTTTCATGCAGGAAGAAATGTTATGCAATGGCACATATACAAGCCTGTACCTTATTTGTGTATTTTCCATTAAAAAAATTTCTTATAATTCTTTCTTTTAAAGACTTATTCTGATCTGCAACCCTCAAATTATTGATGATCTAATGGCGATCTCTATGCTTATACTTGAGCCTGTCCGTGAATGTTTGCTGCTTTCTCTCTGTGTTCTAAAGGAACATCTTATAGGTGCTCTAACCAGGTCATTCATTAATGCTTTGCAGGAAGCACAAGTTTATGCCCAGGAGTATGGCCTTTTCTTTATTGAAACATCAGCAAAAACTGCAACCAATGTCAATGACATTTTCTATGAAATAGGTATGGGATAGGTTTAAATATTTGTTGGTCGAAAATAGAAAACAAAGACCTAAATTGTTTCTAAAGTGAGTTCAATATTTATCTTCCAATATGTGTATATGAAGTTAATCTTGGGTACAAATGAAGGATGAGAATATTTTGCTCAAAACTCAAGAAAAACTTGATCATATTGGATTATTTAATTGCTCTTTTGTTAATGCACATTTACTATCTCTTTTCTATAATTTGATGGTGATTATTTTGGTTTTCTGGCCATTATATGTGCAGCAAAAAGACTACCTCGTGTACAGCCAGCACCAAACCCTTCTGGTATGGTTCTTATGGATAGACCTACTGAAAGGACAGCAAGTGCATCTTGCTGCTCTTAAATACCTGAGTGACAGCGGTATTGGTGCGTATCTGTATCTTCTTTGTAGTTCTTGTGGTGCTCTCCCTAGAAATCTATGTTTGATAATCTTTGGTGCGTTTGTGTATTAAGAATTTCCTTTTCAACCAGTGAAATGGAACTGTAGTGGCTTCTCGTGTAATGAAATGGCGTCTTTTTCTTTCACATTTTAAAATTTGTGGAGTGCTCCCGTACATAAATATATATTTATTTTTTTACTTTACAGAACCATTCTTTTTATGTAAAAAATTGCCGAAGGTTTGTTTTCTCGTAAGATGATGACTCATGGTGTAATTAATTAAGCTGCGAAGCACAATGTAAAACCTTTACGCCAATTTCAGCATCTTGCCTTGTCTTCATTCTTTGGCTGTTAGGTCACACACAAGTTGAAAATAAAATGGCCTATAATTGACCGCAAGCAGTCAAGAAAACGTTGGAAATTTCTATGGATTGGGATGTTGAACCGGATGGTTGAAACATCTAATTCATCCTTGATAGATGTCTGGGTTTCTGAAGCGGTAACTCAAGGATTCCAGGTTAGTATACGAGGAATCGGCATTCGTGCACTGGTTGCACTAATCTACTGTGTTAAAAATGGGTGTCTAGATTAAGTGATCGTGAAGGAAACTTCGCCGCTAGCTTCTGGAGAGATGACATGCGTCAACTTTTGATAAATCTTGTTCACAAAAACACCCTAAATTTTAGTCTCAAAGTAGATGCCATACGGTATTTTTCAGATTTGTGCAGCTCTGATTGGCTGCGCTGCATAGAACTTGTAGCTTACTAGCAACCAGTAAGGATAATCGGTAGCCTAACAGTACTTGAAGATTACTTTGTTTGCAAATGCTTTGTCACTTTCTGATCTGACCCCATCATATAAAAGAAAAATAGAGTTCCATGAAGCTTCTCCACTTGAATCTGTTCCTCTTCGACCACGCAAAGAGAATATAACAACTCATTTCTTAATCAGTTCAAAGCCTTAAAAGCATGATTATCTAGCCTGTTCAAAGACTTGACAAAGTACAAACTCAACATTAAACAAAGGGAAGTTGCAAAGTACACTTTAAAAAATCAATCAACCACCTACGCGCACCATTGGCAACTGCAAGAACTACCATTAACTGCCGCTTAATTAGGTCTTGTTAAATCCTTGAAAAGATGCAGCTGAAGCACAGTCCATTGGTCGAAAACCAATTCTCTCTTTCTCCATGTCATAGACAACCTCCACGTCTTGTTGCTGGAAGCTCCCCAAAACCCCAGCTGGTCCATAATCACCATCATCCATGGATTGGAACAGTAGGCATTTGACCACAGTAGAGTTTCTTGGGGCACTCATAGCATAGAAGTGACTTCCCTGGGACAAAACTAGACTCGCATTGTTCAAAAAATGGAAAGTTATTGAAGGGAGGAGATCACCCGTGAGAATGCTGTTGTTTGGACATGGTACCTTGTAACAAAGATCGAACCCGGTTCTCATCTCCATATCAGTGGCTCTAGGGTAATTTATTATTGATTGAAGAACAGAAAGAACCTGAGAATAGAATGGCTCAGGTAGGTGAGTGTAAGTGGTTCCTGAGTCAACCAACATGCCCCCATTACCAAGTGAATCAAACTCCCTCAAGCTTGATGGCACTTCAGTTGCACTGACATTACCTACAGTTATGGCCTCTAGACCAACGTAGTAGTAATTAGGGTACATGGGACTATTCAACATCGGAGTGAATTGCATATCATCTTTAGAAGTAAGGGCAATATCTCCTATAATTAATGGGCTTGAAATATTAGGATTGTTTGCGTATTTGAAGGCCAAGAAGCAATGTGAGAAGCCCTTTCGAAGAAAACCTAGTTGTGAAGGCAAAGAAAGTGCACCTCTACCAAACCCTGCAATCCCAATAGGTTCCCTATACGTAGACCCAACGCAACCAAAACAGAATCTTGGGATTTCTTGAGTGACACCAAGGTTTCTTCCATGAACCCTAAGCGTATCCCTAGTTAGTGTCCCAGTGACAACCCCTCCTGCACCGTAAGTGTAAGCAAATGGAGGGCATGGCCAAGAACATTTGGCTTTAACAAGGGTACTCAATGAGCATCCAGCCATAGTGCATGGATCCAAGGGGTTGTCAGAACTATGAACATCAATGCAGAAGGGACTGGTACAGGAGTCCCTATGTGATGAAGAAGAATGAGAAGGAGAAAAACTTGCCATCATCCTGTTGTTTCTATAATCATCACATTCTATGCAATCAAAAGAAAGGTTTCCACAAGGAACCCAAGTAAGGTCACTTCCAGTGTCCATATACACTTGAATGACTTGTGGGGGTGTGCCTATACTTAGAGATATCAGATACCCATCTCTAACTTCCCTCAATGGCTCCATCATGTCCAAAACATCCGTTAGTTGCTTTCTTGAAGAAGTGGAAGCTTTTGGATGAGGTGGATCGGAAGCCCTAGAAGCTGGGGTAAGACCAAGAATGAGTGAATTAGGGTTTCTTGGTCTTGCTAGGGACTGAATTGAATAGAAGAGCAGACTATTGACTAGGAGAAAGAAGAGAAAGGTGGTGATGTTGTTGAGCATAACGGCCATTGTTACCTCTTTGGTTGTGATTTGGGATGGAGCTATAGGTTTACGGGGGTGATCTATTTATAAGCCCAACCAAAGTCAAGGGTTTTTCTTCAGCTCTAGAGCAAACCAACAGATGTTGCATGGACGACAAAACCAGCTAGGGTTTTTGGTATAGATGTGTGTGCGCGTGCCACTTGAGAGAGAGGGAGGGTTACTAAATAAAATTAAATTTTCTTTTTAAAAAAACTAAAATTAATAAAATGTGCATGCATATTACTGATTGAAAATAGCAGCAAAAGGTGGCAAACGGCATTCCCGGGATGGATAAAATTACACCCGAAAATATAATCTAATTGTGTGTAAGAAATTAAAGAAGCATGCTAGCTTTCTATACATTAATAGCACTTTTGTTTTTTGTACCTGTGAAATAAAGAAAAATTATATATATGTGAAGAGGATCCCATGTGTTTTCATGAGCTTCGTCATGCACAAGCACGCCAAGAAGCTTTAATATGTGAAGAGGATCCCATGTTTACATGGCATGCATGTCTTATAATTAATTAATGTTGAGGGTTCATTATGGAAAAGTAATTAGTCATTTTCAATCTTTAATTAAAGATTGATTTATATTTACTGCGCTGGTAATCCCACAATTAAACTTTTCTCTCTGAAGGTAGGTTGAAATTGATGGTATATATTGAACAAATTAATAGCTAGGTATTTAGTTAGGGGCTTGGGCCCGGTCTTCTCCCTCGGGATTTCAAGTTTGAATCTTATTAACACCAATTTTTCTTAGCCACAGGACTTAATCCTGTAAAAAGATTAGTTCTGAACAATAAAGATTTTGTTTTATGTGCATAAACAGGATACCCTGAGTTTTTTAAAAAAAAAAAATATTAATAGCTAGGCAAAAATTTCCCTTGTTTGATGTTGGTGTTATACTATCATTCCAAACAAAATTGATCGCTACATTCATAGTTTTTTTTTTATTTTATTTTTTAGTTAAAATTGTAGTCCGGTTGAGGGAGAAATAAGATAGTTGAGGAACCCTTTTCATAATTAAATACGGAAAATCTAAGTTAATTATAATTAAGAGATATATATCACTTGATAATCTGTCTCAAGCTATTATATAGTAATACAAAAATATTTTTAAAATACTATCGAATAGTTTTTTAGTTAAAATGATTTTTTGATATAATATCAAATTTAAGTTATTAAATAGTCACAAGTTTAAATTTTATCACTTTAATTATTGGCTTGTAATAATTTAACCTTTTGAATTGAGATAAATTTAAATGATTAAATGATCATGACTTTAAATCTCATTATTCTAATAACTAACTTATAATAGTTTTTTATTTGTTTGAGATTGTTTTTATAAAAATAATAATTAATTTTATATATTTAAAATCAAGATAAAAACCAATCCAATATATATTCCATGATTTTGTTATAAATTGAAGCCACGTATCTCTTGTATTTAAATACACAAATGATAGAATATATAGCATGTCTGGTATATCGAAATTCATGGTTATTATAAGTGCTTCATCACAATTCTACACAATGAAGTCAACACCTCCTAGTTCATGAATTCAAGCATTAAAAAAGTAAATAAAAAAAAGACATGGTTATATTTTATCACTACAATAGGAGATGACTTGTATCAAAAAATTCTTAGAAACATAGGATATCAAGTTTGGACATCAAATATGGATCAAGGTATGCTAGCACCTATGACTTTATATATATTGTTACATGTAGCTCAACAGAAGACGACACCTATGTATACCATGTTTATACCAATATATTAGCCTAAACCTCGACCACCATATAACGATCCCATCTTATAATGGTTAGGATTGTCTTGGTTCATTTCCACCACCACCTCTATGATGAAATATATTGATTAAATTGTGACTTATCTATATTGATGTAAGTTTAATAGAATTTTAAAATTTATTTTTATTTAACTTATTATTGTTGATAAAATAATTTCTAGTATTAATTTATATTATTTATATATTTTCTACTATTTTTGAAATATCCATAAATAATTATAAGAAATTCAATGAATGGGAAAAAATAATTTATAAAACTCATGTTTTAAAAAATATTTATTTTACAAATCACCAACATATTTTTCATCATTGATTAACAACATATTTTACAAATCACCAACATATTTTTCATATTAACAACGAATCAACAATAAAATTGTAGTTGTTAATCAATAATAGAATATTCATTATTGATTTATCCAATCAACAATAAAATTCCAACAACAAATAAGTTATTGCTAAAAAAATCAACGATTGATAATCTATTACTGAGAAATTAGTATTTATTATTTGCATGTGATATTATCAATTGCTAATTTTGTTGTTAATTTTCATTAATAATAAATTTTAATTTTATCTATAATAGACTATATAGTTGTCAATATGCTTTTTTTTTTTATCATTGAATCATGATATTATGATATTGATTAGGAATTTAGTTTGGTTAACTTAAATTCCAAGTTTTGCAATGACCTTCATCCAATCAATATTAGTTACATAGACTTCTTCTAAATATTAATTAATATTTTGATCATAATTAATTTAAAACAGCTATCATATTATTATTTTTTTGAGAGATTAAAAAAAAAAACAGCTATCATATGATTGCGCCGCATTCACTTTGGACATTTATGCTTAAGCTAATTGGATTCTATGAGATAGTGGTAGTCATGATACTTCTTTTCAATATTATTCACTAATTAATCTGGCTGAAATCAATCGATAGAGTACTATATAATAAAAACAATTAAAGTACAATTATAGAGTTAATTAATGTGGACCAAAGTCCTTGTTTTATGTAGGTCATCCTGGCATTTGTGTTGTGGGCATCAACTCATGTCTCCATGGCTGCTTAATGAACATGTTGTACTGTCACATGGATTGCTATTCTGGGAAAACATGGGCTCTCTTATGTCCGATTAGACCCACTGATTAATGTTTAGCAAGTACTGATCTGAGATTATTATTATGCTTAGATCAACTGTAATTCATAACCAAGCCACCAACACACTTGTAGATTATAATAAAAGTTTTATGAGGTTGGGGGGGGGGGGGGGGGGGGGCTGGTGGCTATTGGTTCTTGAAGGATCTTCCTCGCAGCCTGCAATTGTTCTAGTATTGAATTGATTAGCTTTTCGTTGGAATATTGCGTAATCCCTAAAAAGTAAAGCTGGTGTATATTGTATAGTTCTATGCTCTATATATTAATGTGATAAGTACGTAGGACCATTTGTCACCACATGTGTATATATATTATGCCGAGGCAGATTTCTTGTTGAATCAGATTTTGCGATATGCGGCTGGCTATACCTTTCTAGGTCTTCGATCTGTCTAAGAAGACAAATGATTCACCACTTCATGTTCATGAAAATTAATAAAATATGTAATCAGCAATTCATCTATATATGAACTTCTAAAAAAACAGGAAAATGCGCTCTCTTTGGCTATGCCTACCTGTCTTGCAGCTAGCTTGTTGCTAGGTCATATTAATAAATTATCAGGTAAGAAATTGGTGCATGTATGTTGGTATTGAGCTTTTAATTGTATATACTTGCGTTGCGTTTTAAAAATGTGTTCGTCTTTAAAATCCTATCAAGCTAAAAGATTACATGAGTGCATTTTAAAAGTATGTTTGTTTTGATAAAGTATCACGTTAAAGTTTTTTTAGTGTTTTTTCTATGATTTTTATGTATTGGTATTAAAAATAAAATAAAAAATTTTTAATATATTTTCAAGTGTATAATATAAAAAAAAATAATTTTTTTGATAAAAAAAATCTATACTATAATACAAAAAACACAAAAATATAAGATCCGTTTTTTTTAGGGAAAAAAAAAAGAAGAAAGCAAATGATTGAAGGAAAATACATGTAATGAGTGATACATGTAGAGGCATGTTGATGGTTTTTGGATGAATGGCTGGGATTTTAGCTCTATTTTGTTATAGAAATGTCGATGGCTTTTGGATTCAACTTAAAGCTAGCTTAAAGCTAAGAACACTTGATTGGTTTGTAGATTTTTGGAGGTTAGAAATTAGGGTTTGATCGAAGAAATTAAGAGCAAATTAAAGGGTAGATTATCAATCCAAAACTGTGGATGGTGTTCTGTCAGTGGAACTCCTCCTCTGCAATCGACGTTGCCACCAAACAGATTCTGACAAAGAAAAGATAAGACAGAGTGTGTGTGATTTTTTGTCGAGTTAAAACAAAATAGGTGTTTAGTTTGAATAAATAATATTTAGAACATGTCCTGCGCGTATTTTTTTAGAATTAATCTTTAATACTTTGCTTTAAAGCAAATAAATTAAAATTTAAAAATTCAAGGTAATATTGGAAAAGGTAATCTGAGTTTTGAAATTTGATTTGAAAAGGGTTTTGGTGTTCAAAATGAGTTTCTTCAAGTCTCTATAGTTTAGGATAGTTGGGAATGACGATGATTTCTGTCTTTAAATACTTTTTAAAAATATAATTATTTTTTAAAAATAGTAAATTAATATTTTTTTTAATATTTTAATATACTAATATCAAAATAAATAAAAATATTTTAATGACACTTACACAGCAATACAAAACAAGCACTCAAAATGCTTTGAACTGAAAAATTAAAAAAGAATATTAGCAAAGAATTTCAACGGAAGTTACATCTATCTTGTTTGTTTTTATGTTTTAAAAAAAATTTAAATTTATTTAATTTTTTATCTTAAATTAATATTTTTAGATAATTTTAATATAGTAATATTAAAAATAATTTTTTTAAAAATAACAAAAATAATAATAAATACAACTAAATTTCATATGTTGGGAAAGTCGCTAGGGAAGAGGCAGATAACATGTGATTTAGACTAAGCGTCATGCACCACCTTCTTTTTCTTTATTTATTATTCTTTGATCATGTCTAGTGCATAGGCGTGAACCAAGCTCGCCTCCTCATTTTTTTTCTATTTTTTTTCTATTTTTAATTTTTTT